TCAAATCCTCATTAAAACCATTAATATAAATGTTTTGAATATTGCATTTAAGACTTGTAATCTTCTGAAATGTAACAACATTGCCTGAATAGTCAGGGAAATCATGTTTAATTTAATGGATTATTTTTTCACAGGTGTACAGAAGCATGAATATGTCTGCGTAGATGAAGAAACCAACAAACATTTGGAGAAACATGATTGTGAAACGCCTCCTCCACCCGTACCACTCCAGACAAGCTGTCAGCTCTCACCCTGTCCCCCCAGGTTAGGTTCAAACTCAGCACTGTGTGATTTTTTTCTTTCGCTTTCCACATTCAGCTCAGCACACATGGTTAAACATGAATAATTTACTCTTGTACAGGTGGGATGCGGGGTTGTTTGGGCCTTGTAGTGCCTCCTGTGGTGGAGGAGAGAGAGTGCATCCTGTAAGATGTGTTCAGGAACATGGAACCAATGTGGTAGAGGTCCAAGATGCTGAATGCCCTCCTAAAACAGCTCCAAATGCTGTAGAAAAATGTAACCTGCAGCACTGTCCTGCCAGGTAAATCTACACTTTACTGATGAGGATTAGGTACATGGGTCAAATAACTTCCTTTGGTTGATATTTAATGGTTATCCTGATATGAGACTGAATATCGACTTGTCAATTTTGTCATGTATGTGTATTTTTCTTGCTTTAGATTCTTCATTACAGTAAAGTGATGCGACACTATTTCCTGAACACTCTAGCCTGATCTAGCTGACCTATTATTTGCATTTACCAGCACTATATCAACGTACTGATATTTATAATTGATGATGTTATCGTGAAAATATTTTTGAAAAAGCACCAATAATCAACCCTAAAATGTCCTCATAATATCAAATGTTTTGGTCCAAAATATAATGATATTTGAGTTTCTCCATATAACTAGCATTAGGAAAATGAAGGCTTTCAGGTGTTGAAAAGAGAGAAAGTAAAATCCCCTAACATGTGTTTACAGATGGCGTGTGTCAGAACCAGGGGAGTGCTCAGTTGTGTGCGGGCCAGGAGAAACAGAGCGTGTTGTTTCATGTGTCCGGCCAGAACATGGTCAGGAAGTGGAAGTGGATCAAAGCTTTTGTTCTCTGCAGATCAAACCACCTGACACTGTGCCCTGTGTGGTAGATGTCTGTCCCATTGGGTGGGAATCAAAGGGAGAGGTAAAGTAAATAAATCTCCTTCTAATAAGAAAATCTGAAGCATTTGTAAACATTGTTTTCCTTGACCAGCAGACGCCCATGCTGAAGTCTGGTGTGCTGCCACGCTCCAGACAGGCTCCGGTCTATGTCTGGAGTCCTGTTATCAGTCAGTGCTCAAAGACCTGTGGGAATGGTAAGTGAAAATGATTGCTTACCATCACTCAGAAACAGAAAGTCCTAATCAAAGAAGGTCAAACAAGGACTGATGCTTATGTAGGAACCCTGCAGGTGTGGTTCTCCTGTGTGGACCACCAGACCAGACTGGGGGTAACGGACGTCCACTGTGATCCTACTAAAAAACCTCCTCCTCAGTATGAGACCTGCAACACATCTCCCTGCCCCCGCATGTGAGAAACCATTCTTGACTTGTAGATGTCTAGTAAAATGCAGTACATTTCATTTTCTTTGGTAGTCTTCTATGTAAAGATCAAGAGAAATAAGCTATGTTTAAATTAAGGGCTTGAAAATGACAGCAGCAACCATTTTTATAACCACCAGGTGGCACTCTAAGCAAGGAGTCTGCAGTGTAACGTGTGGAGGAGGGGTGGCCAACAGGGTGCTGTACTGTGCAGGAGAAAGAGACGGGGAGGAGGAGGTGGTGGAGGATTCAGAGTGCAGTGACTTTCCCAAACCCACAGCAGTAGTTTCATGTAACAACCACAGCTGCCCAGCCAGGTGAAGCACACACACAAACACACACATGACTGAGATACATCTTTGCTCATGGAAGATTACTTAAACAACACTGTCATTCTTCCAGGTGGAGGGTGTTCAGTGCATCACCCTGCTCTGCGTCCTGCGATTTGGGTGTAGCTCAGAGGACTGTGTCCTGTGTGCAGTTTTTCCATGGCAGGGAGAGTGTGGTGCCGGAGGAGAGCTGCCATGCAGCCATCAAACCGGCCACCACAGTGCCCTGCCTGGTGAGGGTCTGCACCTTCAGATGGGAGGTGAAACCTTGGAGCCAGGTACATTTCACAGGAGACACATGGATTGAATATGAATATTAGATAACAGTCAAAATGAAACGATTAGCTGATTAATTGGCAAATTGACTGACAGAAGATGACTGGGCAACTATTGATAATCTCTTAATAATTGAAACCATGATTCCAGCTTCTCAAATGTAAGGATTTGCAACTGTTTCAAGTTTTAAGTCAGTATACACTTAAAATAAGAACAAAGACAAATGACTAGAAAAGGTATTACACTTTACATTATTCAATTTGTTTGGCTTATTAGTGTCTTCCATATAGAGTCAGATTGACATTTAAAGGACCGTGCCAGACTTTCTAAATGTAACATCAAATGATCTCCATTTATTATGGAATTGACTGAAAACGAATTGCTGTCTCTGGAAATGTAGAAAAAATACATACAAAAATGTAATTCTATCCAATTGTCTGAAAAATATGTTAATTATACAAAACTATTTATGGCCTGGCTTGAAAACACAGTGAAATTGCCTTTTTAATTGTCTTTTAAAACATTGTTTGTTCCTGGAATCCTATTGGAATCCGCATTTTATACCACTTTCTTTTCTTCTTTAATATGAATCCTGTTTATTGTGGTATACCTTGTCCATCCAGTGCTCGGTACCATGTGGGTACGGGATCCAGTCCAGAGCCGTGTCCTGCATGGGCCCCTCTCATCCGGAGCCCCTTAGCCCTCAGTTCTGTATGCACATGCCCAAACCCATCACCATACAGGGCTGCTACATGGGCGGCTGCGGAGACACGACACCAACCTCAGATGTCATAACTGCAGTCACACCACAGCAACAACTGGACCATCCTTCTCCGAGTCCAACAGAGCCAATCACCATCCTACAGGCCACTGCAGCGACCATCCCAGCACCTAAACCCAGTTAGTACACAAAAACGACCCATTCTCATTAAGAGCTGAAGGCAGCTGATGGATTATCATTACAGTGTCTGCTCTTTACCAGGGGCATGTGGACAACTTCTCCTGGAAGAATCTGGCATTGTGGATTTGAAAGACCTGACAGGCCGCTGCATGGTATCCATTGGTCGACCCCTAGATGAGGTCATCTATATTAAAATGGAATCTGGCTCCTTGAACTGCAGCAAAAGTATGTTTTATCAAAGATGTAAAAATATATTTCATATGCCGTAGCTAATGCATCTAAACAAACATTTATCACTCCATGCATATTTCTACAGAGGAGTTTGTTGCATTTTTTGACCGACTGGCATTGGTGAGGAAGTGCGAGCAGGTAGCAGGCAGTGAACTCACCACCAGAACCAACGTCCTGCTGGTGCGTCAGAATCTGCTCACCCCTGGGAACGGGGTTGTGTTCACCTATAATTCACAGAAAAACATCAAGAAGAGCCATCATCAGGGTAAGAGTGTGGTCAGCACATGCAGTTAATTTTTGTCTTCAATCCAACAGGCTGACATTTACCCTATTTTAAAAGATTGGCTGATGCTTTGTGAAATAATTAAAAGTTATTATTAGAGTGACCCCATGTTTGAGCCTATTGACACATAATGTTGTCATTTTCAGAGTGGTGTTGATTCAGCTACAGCAGTCAATGTTGTTGTGTTCAATTGTTTTGTACTAACTATGCTTTTATTTTGTCCCCTCCCCTATTCATTTGGAGGTGACAAACTTTAAGCTGAAGTAGCGCCTGATGCAGTCCCCACAATTATTGCAGGATTCCCAAAATAAAATGTAATCCCCCCTCAAATGTAAAGACCCTACATGGGAAAGTTTCAGACACAAATCAAGGTCATAGTGTGAACTTTTATTCATTTGCTGCAGGCTTTGCATTTGGCCATAGGGATGTACCGCAGATTTTGTGTACAAGTTTTTGTAAATGTCTTTTGTGAGACTTGTCATTTACATTTCCCAGGCATAGCTGAGGGGTTGGTAAATGTCAACTTTGTCACTTGTGTGCCTTTGTTTAAACTGAATCTACTTTATTCACTTATACTGTACGTGATCTTCCCACTTACTGAAGGCAGGTGGCAGGTTAAACAGTAAGTGAACAAATATCAGAGAACTACAATTTATTTTCTTGCACAAAATATATAAAACGTTTCAAGGCCTTCATTGTTTCCCCTTCATATTCACAAGGACCATCGGGAACTATGTCATTGCCTGGCCATCCCTTTGAAATGCATTTGGCTGTTCAGGCGTTCATAATGTTTTGTTAAGATGAAGTGTATTTTGTCTCTGCCCCACAGATTGTGACATTCAGCTGTTTTCCCCAACTGGCGTCTTTGAGAATCCAACAACGGCAAACACTAACCACACCTGCAGAGTCCTCATCAATGCCCCTCCCTCAGTAAAGATCAAAATCCAAGCGCTTCACATAGGGTTAATGTTTAACTCCACCAACTCCCAATCTACATACATCATGGTGCGGACAACACATGGTTTCAATGGTATATGTTAATATTATGTTATAATGTAATATTGACTCCACTATTTCCTCTTTGTTTCTTGTTCAGATCCGGGACATGGATGTCTTAAAGACCAATGTGTTTAAAGGCCAACAGCTGTTTCAGTGGCACTCCTCTGGAAACATGGCTGAGATTGAATTTCATGGAGACTACCTGAATGCCAAAGGGAGTTTCAGAGCTGAATATTCCTTTATGCGTCTCAGACACTAAATATGAACAATTTTGAGGAGGTTTGAAATTCCTTTATAACATTTCTTTAGAATTCTTTATTTACAATAAACACATTTTTGTAACAGCAAATTACTTCTGCGCTGTACTTCTGTTGTGTGACCCAAAATAAATAAAAAACAAACCAAAGCACTCAAGTTCTTTAAGTCAAACAAGGACAGTATCATGAATATGGCACAAGCGAAAGAAATATCACAAAATCCAATCAGCAAATTATGTTAATGTTAAAATATCTAATTTCCACCATAAAGAACTGCTTCTCATTACAAAAGCAGTCACAAATTGCACTTCCCACGACCCTTTGGCTACACATTTCCCCTCATCCCAGTACACCCAGTACATTCTGTGTCTACGTCAGCGTGGCCCTCTGCCAGCATTCAGTTCCAGCTCCTGTTCAGCCCGGCGGGACACAAACACCTCGCCAGGCTCCGCTGTGGGATCACTGCTCGGCTGTAGCTGTGTCTTCCAGGAGAGCTCTCATGTCCAACAGAGCATCCTCCACAGCCCGGGCAAACTTGGCAGCATTCGTCTCGTCACAGCTGTTGAAGGCCGTGATGGCGATGTTGATGTGCTCATCCATGGGATTGTAACACACTCCATAGCCATCTGGCACCATTGGACCGAAGCACATCACACAGTCTGTCTTGGAGCCAACCTGGACACGGAGACGGGAGAGATGAGGGCGAGCAAACAAATACGACAACAAGTAATCATTCGCTCAGGGATAGGAAACTGTTGATTTTCTTAGATGCAAATATACCTGGCTGGTGGAGAGATGAAAATGCTCAGCCACAGCAAAAGAGGTATCCATGAATATCTCAGGCATGGAGGTCAGCTCTTCAATACTCAGCATCTTTAGCCCCAGGAGATGCCTGTCTATGGCTTGTCCATGAATTGTCTAAGAAAGAAAAAGTTAAATGTGTACGACTGAGAAATCAGATGGCGTTTAAAAAAAAGAAGATTTAATGTTGATAATCTCCAGCTCTTACTTCGTACGTGTTGTTCTTATGCGTCTTAGCGGCCTCCTGCAGCAGCGCCATCCGCTCTGTGTTCTGTTGACAATATTAACTGTTCAGAAGGACAGCTTACATGCCTTATATTCAACCCAGTCTCACGGCATTTCGTGTTATAGCCACAAGATTTATTTAATCTATTGATTCCTGTTCACCAACACGATTTTAAAAGCAATGTATTTCTATTGGTAGTATGTTTCGTGCCTGCACCACGTCTTTTTGTCCGGTCGGGTCTTGGAAGACCGGAAGCTGTGTGGTTCATAAAAATATTTTCTTACTCAATATCTTACCCTAAGCCTAACCCTATCCCTTTTAATTTAAATTGTATAATGTCGGAGTTTTTTTGCCGTCTGCGAGGAAAAGAAATGGGGCTCAGAGCCTCAGAATACTGAAATCTGTATTTTTTTCCTTCTAATTTGTTATTATTTGGTGCAGGCACGAAACATACCAAGTACCAATATAAATACATTGCTTCTAAAATCGTTCTGTGTCAGAATACGGAAATCTGTATTTTTTTTTTATCTCTTTTTCCTTCAAATTTGTTATTATTTACATTGCTTTTAAAATCGTTCTGTGTGACACGAACAAAATGCGAAAATCGTGTTGGTGAACACGAATCAATAGATTAATTTCGTGACTATAACACGAAATGCCGTGAGACTGTGTTGTTATATTATACATAAATTGTGAGACTAGTGGTTTAACAGTACCTGTTTAGTTGGGTCTTGCATTGCCTCAACAAATTTAAACGAGTCTGCAGTAGTAGCACGGACAACATCTGTGCGCCCGTATTTGAACATTCGCAATGATGCACTCTCATGTGTAGAGCAGCAAATATTATACATCCTGGAATTTAAAAACAATACACAGGCTGTATTAATTGATACTCTCAATTTCCATGTCCAGCATCATTTTTTAATAGGAACATTTATTTCTTACCTGAAGTAGGCAAGTTGAAGAGCCATTTGCACAAAGGCATCTGGACTCAGCTTATGTTTCTTTGGCACACTTTTCCCAAAATGAGAAAACATAAGGGCCCTCACGTCTAAGTCATGCACCATTCTGAAGAAACAAAGACAAGAGTGAGTCAGATAAAAGGTCTGATAATACAATTGAGCAAAATCAGTATAATAATAATCACAATTGCACTTTACATACATGTTCATGTTTTGTTTAGCACTCTCAATGTCTCTTTTGACCTCAGGCGTAATGTTAAAACGCAGTTTCTGAGGCATGGGCAGGGGAACCATGGGAGTCCGAACAATTTCAGCTCGTTGCCTGTTGAGAAAATATGAAACATTTAGTGCATTTGAGCTTATTTGAAAATAGGAAAAACACTCATCTAAGAATTAAAAGACACATACATTAATTTAACAACGAAATCGATGAGAAACACGATGGGTGGACCCTCAGCAGGAGCATGTTCGTACATCAGTCCACATGTGCCGTCCTCACCGACAATGAACTGAGAAATATTGACAAGCATTTTCAAATTCAAAAACATTACCACACTATTTTTTATCAATTGCAGTATAAAGTCACTTGTCTAAAACTCACCTGTAAGGTCTTGTCAAACCAGCGGTTGCCACTGTTCCAGCGAGCTCCTCCTCCATGCAGCATCTGTGCAGCCACACGGCTCGGATACAGCTCGTCTGACACGCGTGGCATCGGGGCATCAAGGCAAACTGTGAAGATACCTTTCTGGATGGCACGGACTGACTCCTTATTTGTCTTGTCTGAAAATAAATAAAATAGCCTTTTAGATTGCATTTCTCCATACCAGATTTTCTCTCAAAGAGTCATTTAGATTCTTGAACAAGATTTATTCTAAATAATAATAATAATAATAAAGCTTTATTTATACAGCACTTTTCATACAACTCATGCAGCTCAAAGTGCTTTACAAAATGACACATCACAAGTTAAAAACAAACAACAAGAAATTCCCCTCAGATTATTTGTTAAGAACTTTAAAAGGTACATGCAGCAAAATATAACATGTTATCAGATAGACACAAGGAGGTCAAATGTATGATAATAAAAAATAAAATAAATAATGGTTTCTCTCTGACAGATAAAACACAAGACAACTGAGTCGATGCAACAATATAAAATATAAAACCCCATAAAACAAAGTGAACATATAGGTACAACAGAAATACAAATAAAAAGATTAAGACCTATAAAATAAATACAAAAATATAAAGGTAGGTAAATAATAAAGACTAAAAGAACATTTAAAGTGGGGGGTTGCTAATAAAAAGCTAATCTAAAAAAACGTATCTATAAGAGAACACATCTTTTAAAATTGAGGATTAAGTAACAGGATCTGAAAAGTTGTTGTATCTGCATTGCGCACCCTTTATCAGATTGTTATAGGCCTTTCCCCAGGTGTTTCGATGCTGTGATGTGAGGATGCCAATAGGCTCCTTGTTAGTCTGCAGAGAGGAGTTCCAGATCTTCTCCAGCTGCATGTAGATCTGATCTACTGTCAGCTGAGTGCCATCGCTGTGGTACACATCTAAGACGAAGAACTGAGGGGAAAGGCCAAATGTATTTAATACAGCCACAGGTCCAGTATTTCTTTATCAATTGTATTTCTGTTGAGGTGTATAGCTGAAACAAGAGTAACAGCAGTGCCATCTAGAGTACCTGGAAGTTGTGGACCACAGTGATGTGAGTGACAGGTGTATTCCCGCTGTGGTAATTTACAACAGTATCTCTCTTTGGGCCCGGGATACGGCAGGAGGACAGGATCTTGTAATACTGGTCCATGCACAGCGGCTTCCCACTCAGGTACTCTATAGGCAGGGTATCACTGTGACACAGCAAACAGCGTTATATATAAACCAACTGATAAGTAATGATAATGAGTTAGGATATATGCATTCATTTCTGACAAACTCACGTGTCAATCATTTTTTTAAAGTCCAAAACTCCTGCGATCAGTTTTGCAGCAAACCTGAAAAAGAAGACAGTATCAGTAGTAAGACATCATCAGTGTTATGGACAAACATATTATGACCCTGAGTTTTCAATCACCAGTAGTCAGCTCTGAAAGATGACATTCACAACTGAATGTCATTCAATATGACCTCCTGGTGTCACTCACTGACAGATTGTAAGCCTACTGTACCCGACACACTTAATACTGCAGCCTTCACTGGAGTATTTCTCTATGTGGCCACTGTGTTCACTGCATGTCCCACGGGTCACCGTAGTCAAAAACAGCTGTGCAATGCTATGATGTGCCAAACGGCTTTAAATAGCCAGCCTTTGGAGGGAAGCCTGCGCAAAGGTCAGCTTTAAACTCCAGTTTTATACAAGCTTGTTTACACTGCGCTTCAACACAATGTAAATCACTCTTTAAAACGTTATGATTGTGCTTATAAAAGACAATTCAAGGGATAGTTTGAATGTTTTGATGCAGGGTTGTATGAGGTACTTGTCCATAGTCAGTGTGTTGCCTACTGTAAATGATAAATATAGCATGCCCCTAGTTTAGAGAAAAGGGCTGTAGTTACTGCACTGGAGCGAAGTAATATTCTGCTGTGGGAGTTGCTGGTCTACCGTTGCCTCGACCGTTTTTTTTTTTGTGTGTGATTGTTTGACTTGGTGGAGTGTGATGGCTTGGGTGTCATTATAGATGGACATAACGAATCAGTTCAAATTCAGAAAAGTCTTACTGCAAGTTAAAGCGGTGTGAATAGTCTAAATATAGCGAACACTTAAACTGATGTTGATTATCTTTAGGTGGCCTGAATGGGTTTTGTGCCTAGCCTAGACCAAAGCAGTACATCGCTTTGCTTCCTTTCCTATACTCCTTCCTGTTTCTCCGAACCGTGGGCATGCCCACCACCTTCTACTACACAATGACTATTGATTAGAACCTCATAAAACTCCACTTCAAAACAAAGGTTAATCAATCATAACATGTGAACCCAAGGAATTTACAGCCCACATTAGAAGTACTGGCACTTCTTTTTTTGTGAAGGATGGCTTGGATCTCTAGTTCTATGTGAGCTTGTTCACACTGCATTTAAACTTTTTGGGAAACCTATATTTACGCGCTTATATTTAGGCAAGAGTTTTTTATAACCGTATAATAGGAACTCAAGAAATTGGCAGCACACATCAGATGTACTGGAACTTCTTTTTGCGATTGTAGGGTTTTGTTTATTTGGATAAACAATTAAGTTATTGTGGTCTTACAATGGATCCTCACCTCATCTGTCCTTGTCGATCTCTGAAGTGCATGCGGGGCAGGATAACCCCAGGGCTGGTGTAAACCGCCAACGGCATCCGGCAATCGAGATAGGTCGACTGCATCCACCATTCTGAAAGCTACATAGAGCAGGAGTCAGAAATCAGGACTTTCCTCACCAGGATTACCACAACATATTCAGCTAAATACAACCAGATATCTACCCAGTTGTTGGTCTTGCTTGCCCGTCGCTCCAGGCTTTTCTGCAGCCTACTCCCAACACCACCCTCAAGGAACTCCTTCACCAGCTGCCGTGTGTGTTCCAGCTCCTCCTCGCTGACAATGGGCTCCAGCGCATTAAGGTATCTCTCCAATGTCTGCTTCAAGGGCGGCACAGGCAGCTTAGGTAAACCCTCCTGGTGCATCATGGACCTCTCTGGGATCTGTATAACGGGTCTGACCAGGCGACATGGCTTCACTATGCCAGGCCGCAACTGAAAGACAAAGTCCTTATTAGCATTGACTCTCATCTGCTACAGGAATAACAGGCAACTCTAAAACATTTGGAAAGGGTCACAACTGTTCTTTGGTCATATATTTAGTGACCACATGGCCATAATGCAGACTCATTGCCTTGATATTAGAGTCAAAGTGTTTAGTGGTAATCTCAATAGTTGAACCAGAAGATTAATTAGACTACAACTAACTGATGCTGAGTTGTTGGCAAATATGAATTGTATGTAATCAGATCCTCAGTGGAAATGAGTTCAATTAAGCACAGTATGTTGTGAACAACATTTTCAGTGTACAATGATTTCAACTGTGAAACTTGAAACCAAAACAACTGAGCAAAGCAGTCATACTATTTGGTGCTTTTCCAACTTATAAATAGAAGGTTGACACAGTTGAACCTTTGAAATGGTAGCTAAAACTAACACACATGAAAGCAAGAAATATATCAGTGATCACTAGTAGTCTCGTTTTTATGTGAAACAATTGTGATAAGATTTGAAGATAAATGTTGGTGAAGGTACATTTGGTTTATACATTGATTTTTTATTTAAGTAGCCGTAATAAATTGTACTTAAAAGTGTTAGTTTGAAGTAAAAGTTTTTGTTAAGTACAAAAAGTGTAGCTACATTCTGCACTAGAGGTCATATTATATTATTGGATAATTGTTATTGATGCATTTATGTGTTCATCATGTTAATGTTACAGCTGGTAAAAGTGGAGCAACTTTTAAATACTTGATATACTGTTAGGTAGCTTTTAAGGTATCATAACGTTTATATTAAACCATATCAACTATTACTAATTTATGCTATTAATCGAATCAGCATAGTGACCTAATTATTAGTCAATGTTTTTACAATGTTTGCCTCTGGAAGCTGAAGTATAAAGTAGCAGAAAATGAAATATCTTCAAAATGTTTTTTTCTGAAATATGTTCTTATTCCTACAACGAAAATCAAATAACAGTGGGGATCCAAATTAATTCACAAGTATGATAACTGGTTTTGATGTTTGCCAACCCTAAAGGCACTGAACTTCCGGTAGACTCTTTCAAAATAAAAGGCTATGACCTCCGAAAGTCGAATACAGACTTAGTGTATTAGGCGAATCATGCCAAAACAAATAATGAAAAGAGATTAATAATACATGAACGACTCAGTAATACAGCTAACTAAGCTACTGATAGACCATTTCGTTGACCTTTATTGCAGCATGCGTAGTATGTTATGTACGTTATGCTATCTGCTAAGCTAGGCTAATTTACGCTTAAATTCACAGTACGGGGCTCATAAATTACGCTCGAAGTGAACCCTATTTTAAATAACAAGTAGCGTACCACCAATTCTGACAGCCCACAGTCGAGAAACATTTACATTTTAACCTTAATATCCCAGTGTTGTAGTTCTGAACAGCGCCCCACCCCTTCACTCGGTCTATTGCCGTAAAGCCAAACGTAACGTTACTGCGTTTGTTATTACGCACCTAAAATATATAAAGACTAATAACAATAGACTCACCGCAGCCTTGACAAAAACACCCAACATCTTGTCAAACAGACTTGTTAAAGGTATAAGTCTGTCCCGGGAATAAAGATGAGAGACCCTCGGGCAGGAATGTCTCAAGGACAAGCACTCGGTGTATTCTCAGCTGTCCGCCCCCCCAGACCCTGCGAGCAGACAACTGCGAGCTCTCCACTAAAAGTGCTGCTTTTCCTAGTGGAGTTTATTGTGCGTGCATGTCGTTTTTCAAATGTTTTGCACATTTTTTTAAAGCAATGACTGCCTCATTCCGTCATCATTTGTATTAAGTTAAATAAATAGTAGGTTAATGGATACATTCCGATCTATTGTGAACTATTGGGCTGACTTTTAGTTTAAGATATGGCAGAGTCATACATTATTACGTTAGATGAAATCCCAAATTACTGGTTAAATGATATTGATGGGAAAAAAAGACAAGGTCATTTAAAACCCCATGTGTAGCCTGCCTATCTTTCATAAAACCACTGGTGTGCTGCTGTGCACTCTTATAATGCCGTATACTTTTTCAGGATTTGAAGTTCAGATTTAGAGCCAATGCATTAGTGTTTTATGTTAGCTAAATGTATTAATAAAAAAAGGACCAGATATAAATAAAACATTTACAGAATGATATGCAATGCTGTGTTGATCTGGTGCATGAGGCTGTACATATCTTAACCAGCCACATGATGGAGCTCTTCCAACATGCCAACATGCTTGCAAAAGAAGCAGCATGAACTAATTTCTTCAGGAAATGCAAACCAAATACAGACTCCAGTTTCTCAAATGAATCACCAGAAAATAATGTTTAAATGAAAGGTGCAATTAAGTTACACTGGGTAAGGAAACTGTATCAATAGGCACGAGAAATATTAATAGAAAATAAAAGTAGTTCAAAATTATATGAATGCTCTGTATAAGCACATTTCAGAAACATTTTTCAATAACACATGAGAGAGAGAATTGCATTCGTGTCATGGTTTATTTGAAAGCAATAAAATAAATCGATACAAAGAAAAAACAATCATACAAATCAAAAGGCTTCGATTGCTCTTGTCCAACCGCTGCCTGTTAACAGTGTATGTTTTAAACAAATTGTTTGAGCGGCGAATATTTGCTCAAGGTCCGTCTGCTGCCAACTCACAAACTCAGATAGTCCACCTGAACCCAACACTGAGATTAGGTTGGAGATGTTTGTGCTGTCCAACTGCTCCGAGTCTGAATGTAACTCATCATCAGTTCTCATCCTTTTACATGGCACTAGCCCAAAGTCTGGCAAATAAAACTCTGGGTCAACAATATGATAACTTGTGTCCATCTTTCGCTTTTTAGCGTAGCACTGCGCGCCCTGCGGCTGTTTTGACTGCGCGCAACAGTCTGAGTGGAAGTATCCATTCGTGACAGTAGTCACCACATGCGTGTCCAAGTCCAGGACAGTCTTTTGGTTGGCTTGTGCGTTTTGGATAGGTAACTCCCAGGGGGATTTGTCTGCACAACTCCAACAGGCGTCCGAAACCATGAGGTCAGAGTCACTTGGTGAAAGCATTGCGCAGGCTGATGCGTCTTGGTGCGCCACCTCTGCAGGCTGGCCGTTGTGCTGGTGCGCTCCGCATTGCCAAGTGTCCGACTCAACCCCAGTAAAGTTGCAGTAGAAGTCATCGGACAACTCCGTTAAGCTCCCAGTCAGCTCAAAATATTCTTGCCTTTCACGGACTGCAGCTACATCCTCATATTGATGTGTCCTCTGCGTTTGTAAGTTTTTGCTCACATAGAACTGCCTGGCGTTTCTCAGTACGTACGTTACCAGTAAGTTCTTGTGGAGCTTGATGCCTCCTCTCTGCGTCCTGGAGCTTTGGATTTTCCTCAAAGAAATAGAGATCAGATTCTGTGCCTCAAATGCACACTCCATCCTCAACCGGGCCAGCCGTTCTTTTCTCTCAGTCTCTCAAATCGTTTGGTTCTTCACTGAAGAAATACGTGAGGCTTTAGTTGAGATTCCTACTGGATTCGTGTAGACTGTGTCCATAGCTCTCCATGTCTTCCCAGTAAGGGCATGGATTTTCAACTCTCATCTTTCCTTGCCACGCCCTCACGTAGACATTGTCCAATGGGAGGGAGGCGGTGCTTCTGTTATACGCAAATATCACTACTTGCCTCATTCAGAATGCAGGTAGGAGAGGGCATGCTGCATTTCTCAAAATATGTTCTTTAAATCTCAGTGCGTACTAAAATCATCACAAGTATTGTTCATATAGAAAAGAAGAAAGTATAAGGAAATAGAACAGAAAGAGAGGAGTGGAAAATAATAGAAATTGCAATAGAATAGAACACATTACAGAGAAAAATAATAGATTAGAGTAGACAGAGAGTTATAACATTAAGATAGAATGTAATAATAAGTTATTATATTAGAGTATTATAGAATACAGTAGAGAGTATATAATAGAACATCGTTCAGATTAGTAGAATGTAAAAGAGAGTAATATAATGCAAGTTATTTCCTAAAATAAATGTGGTAAAGATTAAATGAGAAGAAGCGAACATCATACAAGAGAAAAATATAAGACGTAAAAAGGTTAAAATATACAGGAAAGTATATAGTATACAATACAGACTAGAATAGAGTAGAATAAAACAGAATAGAAAATGATGAGTTGATAGACCTGTAGTAAATGACTACAGTATAATTATAGACCATACCAAATTGTAATAGTTGAATGGAATATGGTAGAGTATAACCAGATCAAAAACCTAACGGAGAGTCATAAAACACATAAGAAGAGAATGGAATATATAGCAGTGAGAGTGTTAGAATTGAATAAAGGCTATGGAACAATATAACACAATAGACAGGAATACAATACAGCAGAGCAGAGAGTGATAGCACAGAACTGAGACATATACAGTACAGTTAATAACAAAAAGTACAGTAAAATACATTGCTAAAATTAGCGTATTAATAGAGCTCTTTTTGTACAAAGATAAAGTAAATCCATAAATGACAGAAAGACCAAATAAAATATGTCACCAACACGTGACGAAAAACGAAAAGGATATTATAAGTGCAATGAGTATAAACAATAGATAATCAAGAAACCAGCATAATTGCGAACTAGAATGGCAGGTTTGAATCCCAAACTTCAACATTTCAAAACATTTTTCAACTTTCCTCAGATCCCCTGAATGACTGATCCATGAAGCAGGCGCCATAGCTCCTGACTGCAATCATTTAACCAATTAACTTGTATACATATTAAAATCCTGCTATACAACACTGAAAAACAAAACCTTCTATATGTATCGTAATACTATATGACTGTATACTGTTATAAGTAATAAAAGTAATAGAATTCTTCAAAAGTAAATATATACACACTCTCAATAACAAGCATAAACCCTAACAACAGAAGATGTACATTATGTTTCACTTCTAAACAATACTAAACAAATGTGTACTACAAAAGCCTGTACTATACTGTACTATACTATAACTTTGTACTTTACTAACAAAGATATTTCCTCAAAAGTTAAGTAAATATATACACACTCTCACTAAGAAGCATAAACCCTAACAATGGAAAATAACACATTGACATTCATTTCTATAACATATTTTACAATTGTGTACTTTAAAAGCCTTCACTGTACTATACTGTACTTTACTATATTATAACGGTTTACTATACTTAGTTAAACAGACATTTCCTCCAAAACTGAAATTAAATATATACATGCAGTACATAGGTTAATGTACAAATACGCAATTATGAATGGACTGTCTGGACCCGACAATGATGTCATCGGGCCTGCCTCTGATAATAGAAATACTGTCACCGTTCTCAGATGTGTGAGGTAAAAGCTCTTTGTAGACGGATTATCTGTCATCCATGCCCCACATCTGTTTGTGTGTACACACACAGATGGCTGACATCATACTGAACACCTGGATATTACTTTGATTTCCTGCCAGATACGTGAATCAGGAGGACAGCCACTATTATGGTTATCATGCTCTGATAATGGAGTAAATTGGAGTTTGACATGTGTGCTCTCCCTGGAATATGATTTAAGTGGCTGGGAGCAGATTGATATCATTTTTTATTGTACAGCATGCTACGGTATGGCAAAGCATTGTATTTTATGCTGTAGCTCAGGAATTTGTATAGAACTGAATGCATTAGAATAATCAAATTCAAGTATCCTTAATTCTATTAAATAATTAGGGGAAGATCAAGTAGATACACTTAATGTAATGAAGTACTGTACTGAATTGCTTTTCTCCATGCTGTTATACAACATTTGCAGACAATCACCAATCATCCCTTTGTCCAAGTCACACTGCCTTGACTATATGTGATTAGGTTTTTGGTTACAAAGATGACATAGTGTAGAAAAGGTAAGTATAGTAAAGAATATAGTAAAACAAAAGAGCTTGTATATGACATTTCAAATATAACTGTGAAAATGCTCGCTCTGTCTTTTTCCAATTATAACAGCAACCTAAATAGAAAACAACTAAAAAAATACATATTTGTTACCTTGAGGGCAAAAATAATTATGGATGGCTAAATGGCAATGCCAGAGAAGCAAGTGGGGGGGAAAGAGGGTAGGTGCCAAAATGTCAAATTGGAGGAAAACAAACCGTAACAAACAGTTTATTGAGCATCACTGGAGAGAAACCGCAACCTACAATCTGTGAGAGACAGACCCAAAGGTCAGAGCAAATGTCAAATGGACTTAGAATCAGGTATGAAGACACACACACACTCATGTTGATTTGAGTAATCTTAAAGATCATAAGACAGTGATGGCTTTGCTGGTTTGCAAAAGTACACACATACAAATAAAAGAGTTTAGTGTTCTCCTGATTGTTTTGACCTCTATGTGCATAAAGGACACATTGTGAAGAAGTCAAGGTGGCATACTTAGGTTAAATGTTGTGAAAATTGCTCTGTTAGAGGTTTAAACCTGCAATCACAGATACAAGTATAACAGATGTATTTCTTAGATATCTTTCTTATTAA